AGTGCAATGGTTTTTGCCACAAGACTAGTCCCAGAGCTAAGAGGTATGTCCTACGAGGAGAGGTTAAGGGAAATAAACCCTGACGACACTTGAGGACAGGAGAGATAGGGGGGACTGATTAACGACTTACAAAATACTGAGAGGAATTGACAAGGTGGACAAAAAACGGGATGTTCCAGAGACTGGACACAGCAACAAGGGGAACAAAGTTGGAAACTGAAAACACAGATGAATCACAGGGATGTTAGGGGCATTTCTTCAGCCACAGATAGTCAGGAAGTGGAATAGTTTGGGAAGAGATGTAGTGGAGGCAGGATCCATACATAGCTTTAAGCAGAGGTACGATAAAGCTCATGGTTCAGGGAGAGTTTACCCAGTGGCGACCAGTGAAGAGGCGGGGCCAAGAGTTTGGGGCTCGACCCCTGCAACCTCAACTAGGTGAGTAACTAGGTGAGTACACACACACACACAAAACACACACACACACACACACCCCACACACACACAACACACACACACACACACACACACACCACACAACACACACGCACACACACACACACACACACACACACACACACACACACACACACACACACACACACACACACCAGTGCTATTTTTTATATATGTCTGATATATGTTGATATATTTTTGATATGTGTGAATGACATGATGGAAGGGATAGACTCTGAAGTGTCCCTATTCGCAGATGATGTGAAGTTGATGAGAAGGATTAAATCGAATGAGGATCAGGCAGGACTACAAAGAGACCTGGACAGGCTGGACACGTGATCCAGCAACTGGCTTCTCGAATTCAACCCTGTCAAATGCAAAGACATGAAGATTAGGAAGGGCAAAGAAGACCGCAGGCAGACTATAGGCTAGGTGGGCAAAGGCTGCAAACCTCACTCAAGGAGAAAGATCTTGGGGTGACCATAACACCGAGCACATTTCCGAAAGCACACATCAATCAGATAACTGCTGCAGCATATGGGCGCCTGACAAACCTGAGAATAGCGTTCCGATACCTTAGTAAGGAATCGTTCAAGACACTGTACACTGTGCACGTCAGGCCCATACTGGAGTATGCAGCACCAGTTTGGAACTCACACTTGGTCAAGCACGTCAAGAAATTAGAGAGAGTACAAAGGTTTGCAACAAGGCTAGTCCCAGAGCTCAGGGGAATGTCCTACGAAGAAAGGTTGAGGGAAATCAGACTGACGACACTGGAGGACAGGAGGGTCAGGGGAGACATGATAACAACATACAAAATAATGCGTGGAATAGATAAGGTGGACAGAGATAGGATGTTCCAGAGTGGGGACACAGAAACAAGGGGTCACAATTGGAAGTTGAAGACTCAGACGAGTCACAGGGATGTTAGGAAGTACTTCTTCAGTCACAGAGTCATCAGGAAGTGGAATAGCCTAGCAAGTGATGTAGTGGAGGCAGGAACCATACATAGCTTTAAGACGAGGTATGACAAAGCTCAGGAAGCAGAGAGAGAGAGGACCTAGTAGCGATCAGTGAAGAGGCGGTCCAGGAGCTGAGTCTCGACCCCTGCAACGCAATTAGGTGAGTACACGCACACACACACACACACACACACACACACACACACACACACACACTCCAGGAGCTATGACCCCAGCAACCACAGTCAGGTGCACTAGGTGAGCACACACACACACACACACACACACACACAACACACACACACACACACACACACACACACACACACACACACACACACACACACACAACACACACACACACACTCCAGGAGCTATGACCCCAGCAACCACAGTCAGGTGAGCTAGGTGAGCACACACACACACACACACACACACACGCACACACACACACACACACACACACACACACACTCCAGGAGCTATGACCCCAGCAACCACAGTCAGGTGAGCTAGGTGAGCACACACACACACACACACACACACACACACACACACGCACACACACACACACACACACACACACACACACACACACACACACACACCACACACACACACCACACACACACACACACACACACACACACACACACTCCAGGAGCTATGACCCCAGCAACCACAGTCAGGTGAGCTAGGTGAGCAAAACACACACACACACACCACACACACACACACACACACACACTCACACACACACACACACACACACACACACACACACACCACATGCCGGAGTATTAAGAACTAGGACACAGCAAACCTAAAACTAATGATGGGTTAGTAACATTAAAGACTATAGTACTGGAGTAAACGAATAAAGATAAACACATGACAAGAAAGGAATGGGGGAAAAAACACCTGATTGTTTTTTTTCGCCGGGAAGACGAAAGCAAGAAGAAAAATGCAACGAAAAGGGAAGGAGGGGGGGAAAATCGAGGTCATCGGGGGAAACGAGGAAAAAGGAAATGAAAACTAAATTAATTTTTTAAAGGGTTTGGGAACTAGTAAAAGTCAGAAACATCCATTGATAGTATTAAAAAAGGGGTTAGAAAACCACATTTGGAAACATTTGGTATTTTTTAACTGGAAATGTTTTACCACAAGTGGCTTCTTCAGTACAGTGCGGAAAGGTGGAAGATGAGGAGTTTGGGTAATCATCAAACGCCCTGAATTATTTGGGGACGGGAAAGGGAAAATTTAGTAGTGAAAATCTGTCCTAAGAGGAACCAAAAAGGGTTTTTACAAGTCTTTAGCAGAGAAGGAAAGTAAGACAAGAAGAAGAACAGGAAGACAAGGATCATAGAGAAATTATTACAGAGGTAGGAAAGGATGGTGGTGGGAAAGGGCATTTATTTCAGCAAGAGGACACTTTACAGTGTGGGAAATAGCAGTGGGTACTGAGAACAGATATGATCACAACTTTTACTAAGTTCCTCTAAGGAACACTCACAGTGACGGTCAAACCCGAGGTGACAGGAACAGAATAACCACCAAACAGTACGTGACAGAAAGATCACAGTGAGACAAACCAGGTATGGACGACATGACTTATAAAAGTGGAGAGATAAAAGACGGAATATCAAAAGACTAACCAGATTTAGTGGCCCCTCACAAAGATAAGCCTCACCGAGGTAATAAAAAATGTAGTTTTTCCAGAGGGGTATCACGTAGCAAGAAACGATTAATAGCCCTTGAAATCACGGAACGGGTGAGGCTTGAACCCAAGGCAAATGAGTCCTGAAACTCAGAGGCGAGTGCTTTAATTAACCACTCGACTCTCGTGAGTCACGTGTACCTTAGATTTTCTTAAACAAATAGTTCGGGATTCTGGAGGTCAGTAATCAGTAATAGTTAAAAGGCGGGGCCAGGAGCTGGACCCCTGGAAACACATCTAGGTGAGTAAAACAGTAACACTTCTTGCTCCAGTTCTTAAACATGGTCGTGACACGGATGGTAGCGTGCGTGAGGAATATTTACTGGGTCGTCGGTTCGATTCCCACATTATTCATGGAGTGTGACTATGATTCATCATACTGATGATTCTACATGTCCTCCATCCTTGTATCCATCATACTGATGATTCTACGTGTCATCCATCCTTGCCTCCATCATACTGATGATTCTACGTGTCATCCATCCTTAATTTCATGATAGAGGTGACTCTACGTATCCTTGAAGGTCGTCTATATGAATGTTGTACCCTGGACACCGGGGTCAGGAGACCAGAAGTGTGTGTCAGGAAGCCTCACTCTACCTTGGGTCACATATAAAATGCTTAGTTACCCTTAAACTATTTTTATTATTATTATTATTATTTATTATTATTATTATTATTATTATTATTATTATTATTATTATTTATTATTATTATTATTATTATTATATTATTATATTCATGGAAAGGCCTAAATCTGTAGGGGTCATACAGCTCCTGGGGAATGGTTTCAGCTGCATAAATGTAATCGAATCTTTAGGGAGGTGAAACCTGTGTGCAGTAGAGCTGTGTGTAACAGTAGTGTGTAGCAGAGCTGTGTATAGCAGAGCAGTGTGTAGCAGAGCTGTGTGTAACAGAGCTGTGTGTAACAGAGCTGTGTGTAGCAGAGCAGTGTGTAGCAGAGCTGTGTGTAACAGAGCTGTGTGTAACAGAGCTGTGTGTAGCAGAGCTGTGTGTAGCAGAGCAGTGTGTAGCAGAGCTGTGTGTAACGAGCTGTGTGTAGCAGAGCTGTGTATAGCAGAGCAGTGTGTAGCAGAGCTGTGTGTAGCAGAGCTGTGTGTAGCAGAGCAGTGTGTAGCAGGGCTGTGTGTAACAGAACTGTGTGTAGCAGAGCTGTGTGTAGCAGAGCTGTGTACAGCAGAGCTGTGTGTAGCAGAGCTGTGTGTAACAGAGTTGTGTACAGCAGAGCTGTGTGTAGCAGAGCAGTGTTACCTGGAGGTTACCTGAGAGGTTATTCCGGGGATCAACCCCCCCGCGGCCCGGTCCATGACCAGGCCTCCCGATGGATCAGGGCCTGATCAACTAGGCTGTTACCGCTGGCCGCACGCAGTCCAACGTACGAGCCACAGCCCGGCTGATCCGGCACTGACTTTAGGTATCTGTCCAGCTCTCTCTTGAAGGCAGCCAGGGGCTTATTGGCAATTCCCCTAATGCTTGATGGGAGGCTGTTGAACAGTTTTGGGCCCCGGACACTTATGGTGTTTTCCCTTAGTGTGTAGCAAAGCTGTGTGTAGCAGAGCTGTGTGTAGCAGAGCAGTGTGTAGCAAAGCTGTGTGTAGCAGAGCAGTGTGTAGCAGAGCTGTGTACAGCAAAGCTGTGTGTAGCAGTAGCGCACCTGTCAGACGGAGCAGCAACACTTGAGGGTATACCCCGTGCTGTATTAGTTAAAAATGTTCAACTAAACTACAGCAAACCAGACTTGAGAGCCGAGCTGTTAATTTTCATACTCCACTCAGACCCACCATAATTCGTAAACCTGCGTTTCTCTAGTTTTACGATCCTGACAGTTTTCTTGATCCCCGCAGGAGAGAAGACGAGAGAGAAAGGGAGGGAGAGCTGAGAAGAGAGAGAAGCGTGGGAGGACAATATGAAGACCCAGTGTTTATGGTCTGGGTTCACTGACTGGTGGCGACCGTTGATCATCGTCTCTACCCCAGTCGTCCTCTCACTCCTGCCTATCCTCGCGGCTAACGTTGTGAGTTACCTTGCCCGTTATATTGTGAGTTACATCAGCGTGACTGTATCGTATAGCATTGATGTACTGATTGTGAGTTGTTGTGTACAGGCGCCTTCCTCATACTACCTCTAGTATCCTTCCGTGTGTTTTATCTACCAGACACACTGTCTCTCTATCCTAAGCTTAACTACCTAATCAGAATTAGAGTTAACTAAGTCTCGCTGATAGCCTACACTATCATGGTACACTATCCTTCCCTCCTCCAGGAGTACTAATACACCCACGTTATCATGGTACACTATCTTTCCCTCCGTCAGGAGTCACGATGCGCCTACGTGATCATGGTGATGGCAGTGTACTGGATGACGGAGGCACTGCCGCTGGCAGCCACGGCACTAGTGCCTGTCTTCGCCTTCCCGCTGCTGGGGGTGTTGTCCACGCGCGCCGTGTGCCAGGTCTACCTCAAGGACACCAATGTCATGTTCATGGGTGGCCTCATCATGGCCGTGGCCGTGGAACACTCCGACCTACACAAGCGTATCGCTCTCTTTGTTATACTACACGTGGGTATGTATCACTGCTCCGTTATACCCCATGCTTGTGTATACAACAAGTAGGTATATAGCACTGCCTCGTTATACCCCATATTGATGTAGCATCGTCCGCGAGGCCAGTAAATACAGGATCAGAATTAAATAGCAAACTTAACCATCCTTGAGGTTTTGTCGGGGATGAAACATGGCTAGCATGCTTGCTGGCTACCCAAAGTTAAGATAAGATAAGATAAGATAAGATTATGAGGCATGTGTGGCTGAGTGGTTGAAGGCGTCATTTTTAGAAAACTGGTGGTGTGGGTTAGAATCCTGCTCGCTGTATGATATAATATATATATATATATATATATATATATATATTATATATATACAGTGGTACCTCGGGATACGAACAGCTTAAAATGCGAACAATTTTGTAAGTGCATTTATGCAAGTGCTTTTGTAGGTATATTTCTGGGGGTCTGAAACGGATTAATCTAATTGAACAAATTCGTTCGGTATCAGCACTCGAATAGCCTTCTGGAACGAAATAAGTTCGTATCCCGAGGTACCACTGTGTGTGTATAGTATATGTATATATATATATATATATATATTATATATATATATATATAATATATATATATATATATATATATATATAATATATATATATATATATATATATATATATATTATATATATATATATATATATTTATTTTATTAGCACATCGGCCGATTCCCACCAAGGCAGGGTGCCCCGAAAAAGAAAAACTTTCATCATCATTCACTCCATCACTGTCTTGCCAGGAGGGGTGCTTTACACTTCAGTTTATAAAACTGCTGATGATGATGAGCAGCAACACTTTGCTTCGACAGGTCAGAGTCCCAGGCTCCTCATGGCAGGCTTCATGATCACCACCACCTTCCTGTCCATGTGGATCTCCAACACCGCTGCTGCAGCCATGATCGTGCCTATCGTTGACGCTGTCGTTCTGGAACTTGCTAAGGTCAGTCTACAGAAAGAACCTTAAGCTCACCAAGGTCAAGCAAGGGCTCATCTTACTTTCCTAAATGCACACAAAACCTTCAAAATATTCTCATCCTAAATAAATCACACACAGACACACATTTTATATAATATATATATATATTATAGTATATATATATATATATAATATATATATATATATATATATATATAAATATATATATATATAATTATATATATATATATATATATATATATAAATATATATATATATATATATATATATATATATAAATATATATATATATATATATATAATATATATATCTTGCCGAATAAGGCAAGCGAAAATTTGTGTATGCAGTAATTTCGCAAAAATCATTCCGAACCTAACGAAAAAATATATTTCATTGTGTTTGTTTATTATTAAATTATTGTAAACTTATCTAAAATATATTTAGTTGGATTAGGCTAAATTAAATTGCGCTTGTTATAATACGGTTAGGTAACTTTTCTAAGGTTCTTTTTGTACAAAATTATTAATTTCTACATTAACATAAATGAAAAAAAAACATATCTTTAAGCGTATAAGAGAAAATTTTAGAAAGGACTTAATTTTAAATGAGTTCTTGCTAACTGACCAGTTTTACCTATTCGGCCACGACATGTATATATATATATATATATATATATATATATATATATATATATATATATATATATATATATATATATATATATATACAGTGGACCCCCGCATAACGATGGCATCGCATAGCGATTTTTTATTTCCGCATAACGATTACTTTTATCGCAAAATTTTTGCCCGCATACCGTATTAAAAACCCGCATACCGATTTTCGTCCGAGACGCGTCCAATGTGCCCTCAGCCAGCCTCACATGTGCCGCTCCGTCCCATTGTTTACCAGCCAGCCTCCGCGGTAACATCCAAGCATACACTCAGAATATTTCGTATTATTACAGTATTTTCGGTGCTGTTTCTGGAAAATAAAGTGACCATGGCCCCAAGAAAGCTTCTAGTGCCAACCCTACACCTCAAAGGGTAAGAATTACTATAGAGATGAAGAAAGAGATAATTGATAAGTATGAAAGTGGAGTGCGTATAGCCGACCTAGTCAAGCTGTACAAGAAAACCCCAATCAACCATCGTATATTGGGGGGCACCAGAAAGACAATCAAGGAACTGTTTTTCCCAAAGGTTCAACGTGTTTCGAAAAAAAGAGCAATTGATGGAAAAAGTTAAAGAGACCTTTTTGGTTGGATAAATGAAAAACAATACGGGAGATAGGTCTCCAAGCGTCAATGTGAAAAGGCGGAAGTTGCATGACGATTAAAATTAAAAAAATGCCTCCCAATAGTGAGATTGAGTGAATTTAACCCCACAAAGGTTTGGGTTTGAAATTTAAGAAGCTATGGCACCCATAGGTGAAAAGGGCATGGTGAGGCGCCATTCGGACCACAAAGCGGCTGAAAAATAGTGCAGGGAAAATCAAGGATACAAAAACTGAAGGACTAAAACCCGAACAAGTGTTTAAATTGTGATGAAACAGGCCTGTTCGGAAAAAAATTTGCCAAGCAGGACCTCTTTTTTGGGGAAAAGGCATCCCGGGACATAAGCCTATGAAGACAGGCTTACTTTTTGATGTGTCCCAAATGCTACTGGTGATTGAAAGGAAACCTTTTTGTGTATCACTCTAAAACCCCAAAGCGTTCAGGAAAAAGAATGCCCTCAAGGGATTTTGTGTGCTGTGGAGGGCAAACATAAGGCGGGCCCCTGGGGAATTTTTCTAAAACGGGTTACCCAGCATTTGCCCCCAATGTAAAAAATTCCCAAACAAAAAGAAATTAGAATTAAGTGCCCCCTGGTTTAAAGACAAGCCCCTGGTCACCCTACAGACGTTCAGAGCGACTTTATGGGGACATGGTTTTCATTAAGGTGAAGTTTTTGGCCTCCTAATACCACTCTCTCCTGCAGCCCATGGACCAGCGGGTTTTTCCAATTTCAAGAAAATGTACACAAAAGCTCTGTTTGAAAGGTGCTTTGTAATGACCTCAGAAACTCAACTGACTCTAAGAGAGTTTTGGAGAGATCACTTTAATATCCTCAATTGGTAAACCTTATAGGTAAGGCTTGGGAGGAAGTGACAAAGAGGACCTTGAATCTGCTTGGAAGAAACTGGGGCCCAGAATGTGTAGAAAAAAAGGGATTTTGAAGGTTTGAGGCTAACCCTGAGAACCTGTGCCAGTTGAGGAACCCATTGTGGCATTGGGAAAGTCCTTGGGGTTGGAGGTTAAGTGGGGAGGATGTGGAAGAGTTGGTGGAGGAGGACAATGAAGAACAAACCCACTGATGAGCTGCTAGATCAACTTCAAACAGCAAAGAGGCCACCCCTGAGGGAAATTGCTTCGGAGGGGGGGAGAGAGAAATTTGAAGAAGTTGCCTCTTCAAAGATTAAGGAAATCTGTGCAAAGGGGCTTGAAGTGAAAAACCTTCATGGATGAAAAATCACCCTCACACAGCTATTGCAAGCCGTGCTGGTGTTTATTACACTGACAATGTTGTGAAACACTTTAGGCAAGTCATAAAGGAACGAGAGGTACAGGCCACTATGGACAGATATCTTGTGCGAAAGAAGTCCAGTGACTCTGAAGCGGGCCCCTAGTGGCATTAAAAGAAGAAGGAAAGTAACCCAGAAAAGGACTTACTACCTAAAGTCCTAATGGAAGGGGATTCCCCTTCTAAACACTAACACACTCTCTCCCCTCCTCCCATCCCATCAATCATCACCAGATCTCAATAAAAGTAAGTGTCTTTTAATTGTGCATGCCTTTTTTCAGTTTGTGTGTATTAAAATTAACATTTCATGTTTTAAAAAAAAATTTTTTTTCATACTTTTGGGCGTCTTGCACGGATTAATTTTATTTCCATTATTTTTTAGGGGAAAATTGATTCGCATAACGATTATTTCGCATAACGATGAGCCCTCTTGCACGGATTAAAATCGTTTAACCGGGGGTCCACGTATATATATATATATATATATAAAATTTTATATATATATATATATATATATATATATATATATATATATATAAAATATATAATATATTGTTGTATAAAACTTATAAGAGTATTATTGTGTTATTATTTTATTTATGGGGTAGATTGTGTTTTGTGCCTGGCGTGTCTGGCAACACTGCAATAAATTAGCCAAACCAGGTTTGTGTGACGTCACGGGCCAAGTGTTGCCTCATAGAGTGAAAAAAAAAGTAAATATTGACAGTTGTGAGTCAGATGTGGGAGTTAGCAATTATTATTATTATTGTATATTATTGTCATTTTTAATTATTATTATTATTATTATTATTTTATTCATTGGGAAGTGCAAAACTCGTGAGGGTCATACCTGAAAGGTAATTTGGATGGGACAGATACCTGGTCATGGACCTGCCGCTGGAGGGGTTTACCCCCCAAAAAACCCTTCAGTATCACGTGCGTGGGAATTGATATCCACGCGGATGGATAGATATCCACGTGGGTGGGATATGCAGGCACCTGGGTGGGCTCCTGATCACGTAAATATTGACCCACTAATGAATTCTGAGGAGGATGCCAAGGAAGGCTTCCCAGTTCTGTTACATCAATGTTTTCACTCACCACGCCTTTCAAAGAAAAGAAGCACACAGTCTTCTTGACGGGAGGTGTGAGAGCAACTCCGGCTCCCTGGATCAAAAGAAAGGAACACTGAGAACACAGATCTTCCAACTTGTCCCTCCAGAGTGAGACTGTCGAGGCCCAACTTGTCCTTCTAGAGTCAGACAGTCGAGGCCCAACTTGTCCTTCCAGAGTGAGACTGTCGAGGCCCAACTTGTCCTTCTAGAGTCAGACAGTCGAGGCCCAACTTGTCCTTCCAGAGTGAGACAGTCGAGGCCCAACTTGTCCTTCCAGAGTCAGACAGTCAAGGCCCAACTTGTCCTTCCAGAGTGAGACAGTCAAGGCCCAACTTGTTCTTCCAGAGTGAGACAGTCGAGGCCCAACTTGTCCTTCCAGAGTGAGACAGTCGAGGCCCAACTTGTCCTTCCAGAGTCAGACAGTCAAGGCCCAACTTGTCCTTCCAGAGTGAGACAGTCAAGGCCCAACTTGTTCTTCCAGAGTGAGACAGTCGAGGCCCAACTTGTCCTTCCAGAGTGAGACAGTCAAGGCCCAACTTGTCCTTCCAGAGTCAGACAGTCAAGGCCCAACTTGTCCTTCCAGAGTGGAGACAGTCAAGGCCCAACTTGTCCTTCCAGAGTCAGACAGTCAAGGCCCAACTTGTCCTTCCAGAGTCAGACAGTCAAGGCCCAACTTGTCCTTCCAGAGTCAGACAGTCAAGGCCCAACTTGTCCCTCCAGAGTGAGACAGTCGAGGCCCAACTTGTCCTTCCAGAGTCAGACAGTCAAGGCCCAACTTGTTCTTCCAGAGTCAGACAGTCAAGGCCCAACTTGTCCCTCCAGAGTGAGACAGTCGAGGCCCAACTTGTCCTTCCAGAGTGAGACTGTCGAGGCCCAACTTGTCCTTCTAGAGTCAGACAGTCGAGGCCCAACTTGTCCTTCCAGAGTGAGACAGTCAAGGCCCAACTTGTCCTTCCAGAGTCAAACAGTCAAGGCCCAACTTGTCCTTCCAGAGTGAGACAGTCAAGGCCCAACTTGTTCTTCCAGAGTGAGACAGTCGAGGCCCAACTTGTCCTTCCAAGTGAGACAGTCGAGCCCAACTTGTCCTTCCAGAGTCAGACAGTCAAGGCCCAACTTGTTCTTCCAGAGTCAGACAGTCGAGGCCCAACTTGTCCTTCCAGAGTGAGACAGTGGAGGCCCAACTTGTCCTTCCAGAGTGAGACAGTCGAGGCCCAACTTGTCCTTCCAGAGTGAGACAGTCGAGGCCCAACTTGTCCTTCCAGAGTGAGACAGTCGAGGCCCAACTTGTCCTTCCAGAGTGAGACAGTCGAGGCCCAACTTGTCCTT